TTTATATTAGTCTTATTTAAGAAGTTTTTTTAACTCTGCAAAAATGTGAAGTTACTTTCGTATGAAGGGTTTTGGGCTAGCAGGATTTGTATGGATATTTGCTTGATTTTCATTTTACCACAATACCGTCTACTACGAGTTCATTCAAAATACCTCAAGTTAAAGGCATATTAGTTGTGTTTGTAATACAAAGATACCTGCACTTAATTAAAATAAATATGTTTTTATGTATACGACGTGCATCTTTTTACAGATGTGTATAGAGTACTGTATTAACCATGTGTTACGATACGTTTACATTAAATACATTTTAGATAACTTTCAAGATACACCCAGTATGTTTTTCTTGCAAGAGAATGATCAGTTTTTGAAGATAAGAAAGTATTCGGAGAAGGGACGTAGGCAGTGAACATTTGGGCTCTTGATTTGTATACGTGGATGGAGCGAAAATTTGGAAAGCTAAGTGAAAGAGACTGTATAGAGAAGTGGACAGCGTTAGGAAAGAGAGAAAGGAGAGAGATAGAGAGAGAGACAGGGAGACAGAGAAAGAGAGAGATAGAGAGAGAGAGAGAAGGAGAGTGAGGTCGAGACAGAGCCTGGAAACAGATATATGTATATACAGACAGACAGACAGAGACTAGAGAGACACAGAGATAACATATAGAAAAGTCTACTTGTATATGATGCGCATTGTATATATTTTTTGTATTCCTCTATTTTATTTTATTTTTTACTGTTTTTTAGGAAAAAATGTATTAAAGCATTAAAAACTGAGAAATATCAGCCCAAAGAGGGAATACAAAATATTTTTTAAAAAATATTTTAAAAAAAAGAAGATTTCCGACCGACCCATGTTTTGGCACCTAAAGGGCAATACAACATCTTTTTTTTTAAGGCCTTAGTTTATTAATTCATTTGACAATCCTCTATATAGATGCACTGCTGGTAATGTGCCCGTTACAAGTCTACATTATTATCATTGTCAACTTCATGATCATCATTATATTATTGATAAAATTATTGTCATTATAATTTTTATTATTGTTAGTATCATTATTATTATTATCGTCATCACCATCGTCGTCATCATCATCATCAGCAGGATCATATTCACCCTGCTCATTATGGAAACACCCAACTCTCAACACTCTCCATCGCCCTTTTCTTCCAAATAATGTACACAGGGTATTAGAACTTATTACACAAACAACAAATAATGTTGTTTATAGATCTGAGTAAACATTTATATTTATTTTATATGGCCGGATAGAACTCGTCTTCACTAAAGGGATGGGAACTGGAAGGATCCAAGTTTAGATGATGCTGAGAAAATCTGTCTGACTGCCCTCAACCGATGGCGAATTGAAAGCGGGCTCAGCATAATTTGCGACATCCCATAATAAAGGAAAGCGTGAAGTGTTCTAAACTAACTGTAGCCCAAAGGCGGGGTTGATCTTCATAGTCCAACCCCCTAGTCACGTGACTGAAGTGGGATTCACAGGTTCATCTGAAACCATATTTTTTCTACGTAGTATCATCAGGGAGAGTGTCATTAAGTCATTAATTGACACTCTCCCTGATAACATCATCCTCCCCTGATCAGGGCACGTGCCCCCCCCCCCCCCCCGTGGCTACGTGCCTGCCCCTGATCATTCAAATTAATGTTGGATAATTGTTAAGGCATAGTCAGTCATGTGACTGAAGTGGGAATTCCCAGGTTCATCTGCAGTCATATTTTGTTTAACGAGGTATCATCATTCTCCCCTCAAAATTCATACGTTGGAGAACTTTTAAGGCATATAGTCAGGGCTCCTTTGAGTATGAAGGTGAAGGTGGTCATTATCCCATTCTGCTGCACATGTGCTATTTTTGACCACTGACCATGGATATGTAACTGAGAGTTTCTTCAATTGTTGTTAGTAGACAATTGGCCAAGATGTGCATCAAACATAAGAATGTATTAAGCCATGAAAATGTTTAAATTAATTTCCCGTCCTTTATCTTCAATCTCACATGTTTCTCTCTTTCTTTCTCGCTCACACACACGCACTCTCTCTCTCTCTCTCTCTCTCTCTCTCTCTCTCTGTCTGGCTCTCTCTTTCTCTCTCTCTCTCTCTCTCTCTCTTTCTCTCTCTTTCTTTCCTTTTCCCTTCTCCCCCTCTCTTTTACTCGTTCTTCCTCTCTATCCTTTTCCAATACTCAATACTATTTTTTACGTGTAAAGGGAGGGGATTAATGAAAGTATTGTATACCTTTCCATCATTTTACTACTCTAATTTTCAATATTGATAATTCAGATTTTAAGTTTGCTTGACCATAACTTTTTTTATCATGTAACCGGGTGCATACATCTGATGGGTTTTGTATGCATGCTCCCCCCCGTTCTCAGTTTAAAAATTTCCTTCCTGACTAAAATCATAATACAGTAAAGGGCACTGTTATTATTACCGTGAAACCCAGACAACTTATTTTGATTTCTAAACCTAAAGATAAACTTGAGTTCTGGTAAAAAATTAAAAAAATGAATTCTCACAGAATCAAACTTGACAAAACTTACACTAAATGTTCAAGATTACAAATAAATGTCATTTGCCAAACAATTTTGGTAGAAAGTGTATACTGGCTGAGTAATGAGAAAGATAAGGAAATCAAGGTGGGTATTGCCCCCGACACCATTTGTGTAGTCCCATATGCGTCTTTCTGTGTACAGTGCTTGTTACTTTACCAAGACTGGGCCAAATTTATTATGATTTTGATGACTCCAGAATCTTGCATTTCACACCAATACTTACATGCTACATCATCATCTTTTTCTGATCCATTCCAAATCTTTTCTTTCACAATGCTATCGCATGACCGGGGCAAAACTTACCATTAATGGTAACTTTGCCATCAATGGTAACTACCATGGAAACCTTGATTTTGATTGGCTGTTGAGCCCTGTTACCATGGTAGTTGCCATTGATGGCAAAGTTACCATCAATGGTAAGGTTTATGCAACGGGACCCAGAACTCAAATTTATCTTTAATAAGTAATAATGATACTGAATAATGCCTGAGGCTACTTTTGTACATGTGTGATATTTTCTAATATTTCTTTCCTTCTCCTGACCAAATTACAATATAACAAGGTAAATATATGTAGCCTGAAATTATGATAAGAAATATGCAAAGATAAGTATGTAACTAAGTATAAAAATAAGTGGCTCTTGATCAAATTTAAAAGTATCACATCCATGTTTTTTTTTCTTTCTTTCTTTTAATGAAATTCATGTATTATGTTTGTTCTTACTGTTCAAAACAAACGCAAATGCTCCTTCAAAAAAAATTGTGTTATGAAATATGTTGTTTAGAAATAAAATGTGATGTTATTTTTAAATTGATTGTAAATTGTCATTTAATTCAGCTGAGGCTGCGAAATGATAATAATAAAACAAAACTGAACATATACATAATAAATTATTACGGGACAACCAATACTCAAGTTTAGAACATATTTCGTTTGTATGAATACAGTAACAAAATATATGTATAATCGTTTATACACTGTTATTACAGAATGTACATAAGTTATCTGTAACTAATTTAAATCTTAACAAAGCATCTTTCATATAAAGAATTCTATTCCGTAACTTGAACTGAAACCACCTCATTTTAACATCGACAACTGAATTAAAGGGAAGAAGATAATACGAACTCCATACAATATTTTCAAGGTCAAACTCCTGTTTCCACTTAGTAAGACTTTTCCGTTATTTTATGCTTCAATAAAGAACGGTATATATGTGCACAACCTTTTTTCACTTTTATTATTAATAACAATGCTTCCGGGATGATACATGTAGGTTCAATGATCTTTGATATGACATTTTTATTAAAACCAAATCGAATAGCATGACAAAAGCCATAATATTGAAGAAAGTTTACATGTACATTGTATTTACGTTGAAAATCAAAATATGAGATGAAAATTTAGTGATTACACTGGCATTTGATGGAGCAGCCTTCGGTAGGAAGGGGTGGTTGGATGTCCCATTTGAGTAAGAGGTTAGGAGAGAGAGAGAGAGAGAGAGCATGCAAAAAGGGGGGGGGGGTGGGAGGGGGGTGGGTGTCATTCTCATGGATACAGGAGTAATGAATTTCAGAGATGAAAGAAGAGTAGGGGTAATTTGTTTAAGAACAGAATAGATGACTCAAATGTGGGTGGCTAAACCGTAGGTCAAGACTTTCCGGAGTTTCGCAATTCATGTAGAGTTACCGTTAACAAGAAATACTTCTACTATAGCCATAGGCGCCGGAAGTGGGGGGGGGGGGGCAGTTTCCCCCAACCCAAAAAGGTGGAGGGGGGGGGGGCAAAACGCATTTTTGCCCCCCAAAAACGCTCCCCCTCCCCTCCAAAAAAAAAAGCAGTAAAGGAGTAAGGATGGTTTGTATTTTTAACCCAAAAGAACATAACAATAATAAAAACCTGAATTAAATCACATATAAAACTCCATTCAAAGAAAAGGAAAGTTAACAGGAATTAAATTTCCTAAATATTGCGCATGCCACCTATATTTATCAATGGAGGTTTTTGTAATAGCGATACGCGCATATCGTGAGAGAATGGGAAAGCGTGTCTGTTTTTTTGTTATAGGGGTGAGAAGACATGAGCCCCTAAACGCCTGTGTACTGATGGGGGGATATTTCTTATTCGATACTAGCGATTTACAAATGTTGCTGAAATGACATGATTTTCCGGTATTTTTTCTCAATTTATTTGTAAGTCATACCTTTTATGCGTTTGTTGGAAAATTAGAAATTCCCAAATTTACAGTCGGGCGAAAAATATGCTTATTTAGAAGCCTTTATGTCATGCTCAGCAACACGGCCGGGCTCGGGGGCTCGAGCCCCCCTTATTTTTAAAAAAAGTATGTTACAGAGAAAAAGAAAGAGAGAGAGAGAGGCGAAAAAATAAGTGACATGCCAATGTCACAAATGAGGTATCAAAATATGCTCCTCTGATCGTAATTAAATGCCTAAAACCCCACATCTTACGGGGGCTATTTTTTTACTCTCGGATCAAATCAGTTTGCTCTTTACCTGAAGAAGGAAGGGGAAGACTCCCGAAAATGTGTGTTCATTCAGAAAAAGTTGGTAATTAGCATAAAATCGCGAGAAATCTCATTGTTATTGTATACATTTTCCAACACATATAATCTATTTACATCATATATATATATATAATTATGTACATACTTGCTTCTGCTTTGCCACATATGTTGTAGATATCAATACAATATTTACCAACAATCTTAGTGGTATTTAATGAAACTAAAATCATGCATGTATTGAATCCATAACTATTGCAGATAGTCATGTATTTTATACGTTGCTGCCTGCTTAAACATAATGAATTTTTCCTCAGGTCCACAACTGCCATCAACGTGATCAAGGCTCCATGCTCACGTCATTCTCTCGCTAGTCTTCTATTGCCAAATAATGACTCTTCAAAGGTAAAGGCAAGGCCTATCCCCCAATTTTTCAAGCTTAGCTGCATTAGGACCAAGAGGGCCAAGATGGCGTCATGAAATCTTTAACCTTCTTCAAGAAGCCAGATCCCTTCTTATTGGCAGCTGTGTGGTATCTGATACAGCTATCGAGAAGCCAGGAAAACAGGCGATTTTTCGTGATATCGTCAAAGAGAGGTGGTCTGCAGGATTCACTGCTGTACTGGAAAACAGGGACTTCGTTCATCTTTGGAAACTGTCTTATGGTATCTGTAAACAATAAAACAGGAACAAATTTGAAGAAACCTTGCATGTGCTATATTGGGCAAGGATAATTGGATATATATATTTTTTTCTTCAGATTTCCATTACAGATAGAAAACATCTACATGGAAAACTTAGACTGGACGAAGATATAATTTGTATAATCCAGCTTGGTAGTGCGGTAGGAATGATCTATATAATAATGAATGCGATTTGCAAGCTTTCTTCCGGACATCTCCAGTTCATATTTGATAACATTAGGCGCACAGCAGTGTACAAGACTCTATTGTCAGACCACTCGCGAAGACCACTCCAGAATAGTACTCACTACTCAAGATGATTTATTCTAGCTTATACGTTTAGGTTTGAATAAACACAGTTTAATTGGAGAAGAGGTGTTCAACTCCATTTCTGTGAGAGCAGTAGATACCTTGAAGACAGTCAGACATCCTTTTTTTTAATCGTGTTCACAACAACAAGTGGACAGGCAGCACTAAAAAGCAAACTTTAAACTCATGTTTGTGTGAAGGGTTTATCTACAAATATTCACCTATAACGTAAATATAAAAAATGAGTATAACAGAAGCTCTAGTTGTTTCAAAAACTACCTAGACAAATTGAACAATATAGTTAACTCACCTGCATGCTTATGGTCTGCAGGAGCATTCGTCGGAGCGCGCATCAACAGGGCCATATTCTGGGGTACCACTGAAAGAGTATTTAGATTGAGATAAGTGATAATTAGACCCCTTGCTACAAGTTTATCCAATGAATAAAATTGTAATACCCTAACGGAATTCATTTTATTTTTAGAAGATCCTTCGAATATCCATTACAAATCTCAACAAACATGTGAAAGTTTTAGAATTTGTTTATCAACAAATAAGAACTCTTTTTGAAATGCGGATGTTACAAACAAGTTTTTCACTACATGCATTTTATGTTAATCTCAATTAACAAAGAGGTGCGATCATCATGTCATCAATTACAGATTGAGAGCCCACTACACTTACATTTCCACTTATTATAATAAAGGAAAGCTTAACTGCGATGGTTTTAAATAAATCGGACAAATACTAAGTTATGAACGATTGAAAGTGAATTTATCAAATCTATGTGAATGGCAAACTATCAAATTGGTCAATGGATCAATGGTCAATGTGGATTGTGATGTAATCTTCCGTGTTGTAAAATATAATTTGTTTCGGTTTCTTCTTCTTCTAATAATAATTATAGGTATTATAGCGCCGTCTATCTAGAAATTATATTCGAAGGCGCATTATTATTACCCCGGCTTTACCTCACCTGCCATCTTCCTTGGGGCATTACTAAAAATAAATACTTTTGCCTGTAAAATGCGTGAATTGATTGTGACAATATGGATTAATCTTGATATATAACGTTTTGTATTTTCTGGGAACGTTCTTGATCTATCTTGATGACCCTTCAGATTGATTAGTAAAATTCTGAGAAGATAAACTTAATCTATCAAGAATATACTTTATTGTCGCCGCCATTTCATGAAAAGAGGTAAGAATAACTTTTCAAATTTCATGGGCAACATTGTATTATGAAAACCACATCGTTTGGTCCTCTCAAAACAAGATCCTTCCAAAGGTTGTAGGATTTAAATTTTTAATATCATTTTGTTTGTCAACTTAGAAGACTTTCGTTAGGCATTACATCACAGTGACTTTACCGATTCTGACATTTTAAAATTCCCATATGTAGTGAGATTAACCTACAACTAAAACTGTAACACCTACACATCTCTTTCTTGCATTTCTGGTAAAAATCCAAGGCGCACTTGTTGAATTCATACGAGCTGTGAGATGCAGCTTGCTGTAATGATCCCAAGTCTACAAGAATGGTTTCAAACAAGTGCCAGTTGCTTGCCAGGTCACGTATGTCTTTAATCGACATGATTGTCTTTCCGGGAAGTTGTCGTTGTAGCCCATCCAACAAATGTACAGGTTGATTTGATGTAGAAAGACTGAACAAGGCTATGGGATAGGTTGTGTCGATCACTTTGTCTGGGGTGGCATATTTATCAGGTGAGGTGTCGACTTTCGACGAGGCCTGTAACATTTGTGCGGTGTCGGAAGAAGATGCGCCAACTTGTGATGTAACAGAAGCTATGTTCTGAATGTTATCATCTTCCATACCGGTGGATGGTGTCACGCTTGTCATTAAAGTTTGGTTGTTAGTAGGTTGCGTCGGAGCAACTTCTGAACAGGGACCAACCCCTAAAGGGTCAACAGAAGAACCACTATCAATCGAGATTGCTGAGGCATTTGTCGAGCGGCCAACCTCTGTCTGAGATATGGAACTAGTGTCAGTAGAACTCAGAGCAGAAGAAGTCATACTTTCGTCTCCTTTGGTAACACTACCAGAAACAGGTGTGTTTTGTGGCTTACCACCAGTCCCGATTCTATTTATTTTATCCGCAGAGGGCGTTGTGATCAGGGTTGAATGTGCCTCTTTGTCAGCGATGGGTAGAGGATGATCACGTACCTTCCCGAGGAATTCAGTGAGTCGTGAGAGGTCTTCAGCTCGCATTTCAGCTAGATTGTTGCATTGGATGACGCATTTAGAGCACTGGAAGGTGGTTGGCTGGGACTTCTTGAAGACCATCATCAGTGCCATCTTGGTGTTAGAATTGAAGCTCGTCATGGAGTGAACAACAACTGCAACACGGTCAGGTCCTGTCAAAATATATATAAATTCTATGAATAATTCTAAACCCATATTCTAGCCATAGATACATTATTACATGCATTTACAAATGACGTCATGATCCACGGATGGATCACAGAAAGTAGAGATGGTCAAAATGTTTGGTGACTTTAACACAATGGTTAACATAAAGCATATATACCTGACATATAGATATTCCTCGACTGTTCAATTCATCAAATAAACTTTAACAAAAAAAGAAAAGAAATAGCGAGTTGAAAACGCAGGAGTATGGAATTACTATTAAAATACCCCGCAAAATCAATAGAGATCCTTGTCAATGGATGAAGAGCACCCTCTTTTCCATAAAGGGGAAAACCTCAGATGATGCTGTGCACGTACGTACGAGATCATGGATAATGCCAAAGTCCTATTCTTCTTCTTTTGCAATACTTTTGACATGATTCTCTTCAATTTCACTTTTTCAAAGAGTAATAGACATATGAACCGTTTATGAAATTGTAAAGCTTTAGTATGATTAAAGTTTATATTTGTAGCAACTTTAGAAGTAGTAAAATGTTTCCATCTCTCTCTCTCTCTCGAGATCCTTTTATTCCTGTTTAATCCTTTCTGCGTTTAAAACATAGTAACCCTTTAAAAACCTTCAAGCTACGCGCACTGGAGAAAAAGGTAAATCGCAGCAGACTTTGCATGCACTTAGATATATTGAGATAAATCTTTTCCTGTTGACATTTTTCATTTGGAAGTATATTTCATTTTCAAGATAAGACCATGGCTATATTTTTAATTGAATCCTTCTCTAGAATCAGTTTCATTGTCAAGCCTCCGCAATAGCCATTCTCACGTACTGATGCTCAAAGCCTCGAGTGCGAACATGTGATAAGCGCTGCCATAAAATTGAATCGCTCTTGCTTCTCAGTAAACTTTCTCAAGCACTCCGTTCTACGCAAAATCTTTCATTTGTAAAACATTGTTTTCATTGCATATTCTAAAAGGACTGTATCAAAAGATACCACACACACACACATAAACACACTAAAATCGCATAATAATATTAGCTCCAGGCGCGTACGCAGGATTTTTTCAAGGGGGGGGGGGGGGGGGTTTTAACATTTATAAATCGGGCCGAAAATTTCGCAACGACTCAGCCAGCCGCTGAATAAGCGGGGAGGAGGGGGGGGGGGGGGGGGGAGGGGGGGGGTAAGAGGTCACTTTTTTTTTTTTTTTTTTTTTGGTCTAAAAAAAAATCGCAACGACTCAGCCGACCGCTGAATAAGCGGGGGGGGGGGGGGGGGGGGTAGTGTCTCGAAATTTGAAAATTTGACATTTTGCTCCGTTGGGGGGGGGGGTAAGGTCAGCTTTTTTAGGTCAACCATGGGATTTTTTTTTTTTTTAAAAAAAAAAAAAAAAAAAAAATCCAAAAGGGGGGGGATTTAGAGAAATATAGGGGGGGGGGGTTTACACACAAAAAATTACCAAAGGGGCGGGGGTTTAACCCCCCAAACACCCCCCCCCCCCCCTGTGTACGCGCCTGATTAGCTCACATTTATTATGCGACTAATACTTTGTTTTCTAGGCGCAGCACATAATCACCCCGGTCATCGGATTCAGGCTTTGATACCCGCAACACAATGTATGCACATTTTCCACTCCCTGGGGAGCATTCCAGCCAGTCACCATTTTACAAGCGCCACTTATATATCCAACCACATTAACTTTCTCATCCTACCGGGTACCCATTAACACCTGTGTGGAGAGTGGCAAATGTAGATCAATGTCTTGCCAAAGGATATCAGTGCCGCGGCGGGACTTGAACCGCGGACCTTTTGATGCACATTCCGGTGACATATCCACTCGGGTTTTAGGACACCTACCCCCTGGACATCAACCCCCGATTAACCACCCCCAGTCAACTACCCTAAGACAACTACCCCCAGGACAACTACCCCGGACAACTACCACCCGGACAACTACCCCAGACAACTACCCACTACGACATCTACCCCCGGTACATAACTATCCAGGGGGTAGTTATCCTAGGGGGGGGGTAGTTGTCCGGGGGTTAGTTGTCCTAGGGGGTAGTTGACTGGGGGTGGTTATCCGGGGGTGGATGTCCAGGGGATAGGTGTCCGGATACGATCCACTCGACCATATTACTTGACCACAGTACTGTTACATACGCTCGTGTGTCCAATGATGGAGCAAGTACAGGTGTAGTGGTCTTTACTCTGCTTCTGGCGCCTCGGGTTCGAACCCAGTTACGTTTAGCTGATAATCCTATAGATTTAAGATCGTCCAGGATCTTGATAAGACAGTGTAAGCCCAGATGACTATCCCTTATGGAGCTCTCACACTCTGCCGTTTAGGCCTACCGTCCACCTGCCGGGCTATTAAAAAAACAACAGAGTCCAGAACGTTGGGTTTTGAGCGAACTTGTCCCCGGCCGCAAAAAAAAATTCATACAATTAATCTTTTTACCGTTTCGTTGCCATCTTCTGACCGTTCTCACCGGGCGCATACCGGGTGTTGAACGTGCTTCTACCGTCTTCACCGCCCAGATTGACTTTTGTTGAACATTTTGGCCGTGCCCATACCGGGTCTCGAACGTGTGCACCGGGTTTGTAGCAGCCACCTACCAGTCACTTAGCGTCCCCTCACCGCTCAGAGCGTCCTGTGAGCGAGTCCCCGGACTGCTGACGTTCATGACACGTTCACAACCCGCTTACAACCCGTTGCAGACGGTGGATTTTTTTTTGCCCGTTCATCACCGTTCTGTAACGGGTTATGAGCGTGTTGTGAATGTGTTCATACAGTGTGACCGTTCGCCAACGCCCTATTAACGTGTTGCCCGCTTTGATAACGAACCACCGTGTGCCCTCGCCGTTCTCCACCGTCCGCAGACATTTTCGCGCACGGTGGCACACGGTAGGCCTACACGGCAGAGTGTGAGAGTCACTTTAAACAACCTCACCTCTCTCACCCAAAGTCCCCTGCCGAACGAATGCCTTAATACACAGACACACACGCACGCACACGCCTACTGTGGTTGATAATAATGGTGGTCTGGCTAGGGGTGCGTTAATCATGTTTTGCCTCTAAGAATCAGCGTTTCTTTAACTTATGTACATATCGAGCCGCACTGTACAAACGTGATTTGCGGGATGTCACATTAATTTATCAAGTCGTCACGATTCGAAATAAAGGCATTGTCTCTGCGCAGCTGCTTTGCGCCGTTTGACCCGGGAAGCAGAGTTGCTCGGAGGTCAACTAGGGCGCGCACTATTTCTTCTTAGAGTAGCACGTTAGCATCATAGAGCGAGATCTATAGTTAGCATGTGAACGCGATGGAAAAAAAAAAACAGTTAACTGAGCACGTAATCGCATAATACGTAAACAATGAACAATACAATAAACAATGGACAACAACCTGACACAGCACATGGCGCGCGCTATTTCTCCGAACCGGAAATTTTGAAGGCAGAATGAGCGATTTGAAACGCTCGTCGTAAACGCAGTTCCATTGTGTACTGTTTATGCTCCCTTCTCCAAGCCAATTCGGGCTCTGTATCTGGATTCGTATGCTACGTTGACACCGAGAGGGCAGGTCAAGTTTTGGCGCGCTCTTACGAATATTCTTTGTAGGCACTGTATTGACATGAGCACTGTTTAATCAAGGAGATATACAGCATACGACAGGATGCAACGGGTTAGGCCTTTCCCGTGTTAGGCAAATATAGCTAAATGATATGCTTTGTAGGCACTGCACCGGCAGAAACATGCATTTATGCACAGGCGCGGATCCAGGATTTCTTAGGGGGTGGGGCCCAAATTTGAAATTATGCAGTGGCAAAAACGTTTGGGGGGGGGGGTAGACAAAAAAATCCCCATCACCCCCACTCTTACATGCATGCCCGGCTGAATATTTCTCGGCGGGGGTCAAGGGGTGGAGCCCCCAGAAGCTCAGGGGGTATAGGCATTTAATTACTGTCAGATGAGCATATGTTGATATTTTTTTGTGATACTGGCAGGACACAAATTGGTGTGGGGTCCAGGGGGCGGAGCCCCCAGTAGCTCAGGGGTTTTATACATTAAATTACCGTCAGATGAGCATATTTTGATACCTTATTTGTGACACTGGCAGGTCACGAATTGACGTGGGGCCCATGGGGCGAAGCCCCCGGAAGCTCAGGGGCTTTGGGCAATACATTACGGTCAGATGAGCATATTTTGATACCTTATTTGTGACACTGGCAGGTCACGAATTGGCGTGGGTTTCCAGGGGACGAACCCCGGAAGCTTAGGGGTTTCGGGCAATAAATTACGGTCAGATGAGCATATTTTGATACGATATTTGTGACACTGGCAGGACACAAATGGGTGTGAAATCCAGGGGGCAGAGCCCCGGAAACTCAGGGGTTTTCATGCATTTATTGACGGTCAGATGAGCAAATTTTGACGCCTCACTTTTTTGTGAGAAAGGCAGATTGCTATTTTTTCTTTCTTTCTTTAGGAATTTGCAATTTTCCAACAAACGCATAAAAAAGGATAATTTACTGAAGATTGAGGAAAAATTTCGGAAACATATGTCATTTCAGCAACATTTGTAAATCACCGGTATCGAATTAGAAATAAACCACGTTTGAATTATATTTGGGTGCATCTGTCTCCCCCAAGCCCCCTCCCCCATCACTACGCCAGTAACCCCCCCCCCCCCCCCCCCCGGACCTACACCTTGTTGGCGGGAAAAATCGCAACCGATCCCCCCCCACCTTTCTTTTTTTCTTTCCCTTTTTCTCCTCTTTCTTCTCTCTGTTTTAAGTTTGATGGGGAGGGGGGGGGGGGCAAGGGCCTTTCGTCACCCCCTTCGATCCACACGTTTTTGGCGGGATTAATCGCAACTGTTCCCCCTTCTTTTCTTCTTCCTGTTTTTGTTCCCTTTTACCTCTCCTCTTTCCCTTTCCCTTCCTTCCCCTTTTTGGGGGGCGGATGGGGGGGGGGGGGGCAATGGCAACTTGTTGGCGGGAAAATTACAACTGATATTCCCCTTCCTTTCATTTCTTCTTCTTCCTCTTTTTCCTCCCTTTATATCCTCTTTGCCTTTTTACTTTCCCTTTCCTCCCTTCTCTCTTATTTGTTGACGATGGGGGGGGGGGGTAAGTAACAGCTGGGAGGCAAGGCCCTTTCGGTCCCCCCTATCTCCTTCTCCCCCCTTTTTTTTCTTCCTCTTCTTTCTTTCCCTTTCTCTCCTCTTTCCCTTTCCCTCCTCTATTTCTCTCTCTCTCTCTCTTTTTGTTTGCGGGGGGGGGGCAGGGCCCACTGCCCCCCCCCCCCTGGATCCGCGCCTGTTTATGCAGGCCAGGCGGCCACTGCGTACAGTGTATGCGCCGATATTCGTTAAAATAAAAAGAAGTAAAAGTTATTTATTAACATACCCCCCCCCCCCCCCACCCACGGGTCCTGCTAGTCATAGATTTTCACGTGAACCGGAAACACGTTTATGAAGACGTCATTTAAACGCGTGGTTTACAATTGATTGTGCGTTTATGCTTCCCCAGAAACCGTCTTTTTGGAGAAACGCCGATCCAAAACGCACCTTTTTGTGAGTTTACGATCGACGATTACGATCGCTGTTTATCGGTTATTCTACGAAAATGAGAAAGGACGCAACCGTGTTTTGAACTAAACGCGCAACAAAAGCCTCATTTTGGCCTGAAAAGTTGAGCATAAACACACCCTATGTGTGCGTTTATCATCTCTCAGAAACGTGATTCTGGTTCTAATACATTAACATCCCATGTAAAGTCATACGACACAACATATATCTGAAGTATAATCACTCAGAATGACTCACCATAAGTCCTCTTGAGTGTGGGCAGGAGCTTACTGTACTTGGCGTCTGCTACGTCAGTGATGGAGTTACGACCTTGTGAAATTGAATGCAACAGAACGACGGCATCGTACTTCTCTCCAGGCTGGAACGACTGTAAGTCTTGCTGGGTGAGTTTTACAAAGACGCAACTGAAATCATCATGCTCGCGCTTGATTTGTTCAATTAACTGATCTGTAGAGTTTTCCGTCGAAACGGAGAGTAAAGCGATGACAATTTTGTTCCCGCTCGCCATGATGAACTTCTGCCCGTCGTTGGTTGCAAAGTCAGTGCGGATAGCTTGCCAGCTAAAGCATCCTTTGCGTCGCAATAAAGATCAACGTCGGAGCGTTGATCGAGGGTAACAAGCAAGTTTGTAATACGATGTGGGAACTGGAAAAACCCACTGCCTTGTCATTGTGTACAAATATGGTCACGTCCGTATGGGCGGTGCTAAGCTAAAGTATTGAGCATGCGCAGTAATTTGTCTGCAAAGGCCAGCAGTTCAGGAATAGCTTAGCACAAATACTTGTTTGTTACATGGGGCATTTCTTGCGTGGTGTCAAAATCTATTTGGAAATTAAGTTATTTTCTAGTTATGATTGCACAATGTAGTTGGAAAAACCCACTTTTTATTTATGTGTGGAAAAACCCACTTGATTATCATTGTTTCGCCATGCTCTTATTTGTCTGGGAGGACCTTTAGCTCACGCATGCGCAGTGATAACCAGCATAAGCCACACCTCCATAAATCAGGATTCTCCTTAAATAACGCATCACACATTTTGTGAACATGTGTATCTGCGCTTTCGAAAGTGAGTCCACTCTAATTATTGGCTATTCTACATCTGAATCTCACGGCTAAGCAAATACCTTTCAAATAAAAAGGCAAACAACAAGAACAACAGGTAATTTACAAGTTCATCATCTGAAATACTTTGTTTATTTTTTGCGAAATCAGGAATAACTTGACAAAGCTAGGCTGCAGATAACATTTAGGATAAACTACAATTCACATATTTCTGCTTTTAATTTCTTACAAACTCCTGTAGAGATATACAATTATTAATAGGAAAATGGCGACAATCTCCCAAAGTGACCTGCTTGAGGAAATAAGAGAGATTCGCGATATCGTCCAAGATTACAAACCAGGTAAAAACGTCACCCTTCCCGACAAGATTTCCTTTCCCGAAAACCTCTTCGTTGGATTGTTTGGAAGAACTGGGTGCGGAAAAAGTTCTCTGATAAATTCCCTAAAGTTTGCAGCTCAGGGACGTTTGAGAAAGTCGCAATGGATTGAAGTAGCAAGTCAGGAGAAAGCAGGGGGTCATACCATGTTCAGAAAGATCGCTAATTTGACCCAATGCATCTACGTCATTGATAACCGAGGACTAGACAACCCGAGTGCAGAAGAAGTTCATGCTGAAATAGCAGCACAACTTGGTGAGTATTTCGTCGGGTTTCTATTTCTTCTTGCGACATAAAACTAACGACTTCCGATCACAATAGATTTGTAGTTTACCAAGTATTTATAATAGCACAACGCCACTAATACACATTTCTTTAAAAAAAACGTTTGACAACCCGTATTGCATTCAACTGACTAACGTTTGACAACCAGTAGGCCTATTTTTATTTTTGTAAGCCTTTATATTATATGATTTTATCATCTCTACTGGCGTTGCCAATTGTAACGGCCGACACGGGCGTCCTGCGCGTCGGCTATTTTCGGCAGCTAAATTTCCTTTCAAATATTATTTATTTCTGAGATATAAACTTGATTATATAGCTATAAGCACGTGGTTTCATGATAAAGGTAGCCACAGTATATTCTTTTCCTAATACAGTCCATCAAATCATCTTGACGGGTTTCTGTCTTCACTTTTATTTTAGACGGAGACCGAGGCTACAGTGAACAGGTCCAATGGTTAGGTGAAGAAGTACAACGGTTCGATATCCCGGCAGTTGATCGGAAGAAAGGACACCCAATAACATGTGCTGTTTTCGTGTTCAGGTAGGCCTGTCAACAATTGCAGTGAATGTTTTTATTTATGTTGATTCAGATACACAGAATGTTCATTTATAATTTAAAGGCAGATATTGCCAGCAGGTGTTATATAGTTCTGACTTCGATACTGCAAGCGTGTGATAATTCATGGCCTATGTGAGAACCTACCTAAATCAGTGGATGGCGTTCATCAGTGGGATTCTGGCAGTGTTGCTCCCCTCTCTGTGGCACTAAACCTAAGCATATACATAATACCATTCAGTTTGCTAATTTGCATAAAAAAGTTGTTCCTAAAGGACAATAAACTCGGCAAACCCCTAATTTCAATACTTTAATTTAACACTGAGTTAATTCGGTGTATACTGTGACGTTTTGACTCAATCGTGATGAAAAGCACATGCACTGCAGCCGGAAATTGATACTACAGTATATAGAAGTACATGCACCCGTGGCATAGTTGTGTGGTCCAAACATTTGAGCTATTTCTGGTAATACTTTAAGTGTTCTGAGAGAATTTGAAGAGCATCCTTTCAAAGAAAATTGCTATCATGATGATCTTCTAAACTAACATTAAACGATTAGGACTTTACAATTCAATTATTTCTCACCTTTCTCAGAAATCCAATCTTGATAGCAAAGTACTATCAGAAAAGTAGACTGTGAAAGTTTAAGTAAAATCGGACAAAAAATTAGAAAGTTATTAAGTTTTGAAAGTTGTAATCACTGCAATGCAGGTATATGGGCATTTTTAAAATGGCCGAATCGGTAATGTCTCTTTGAAGTTGAGCCGGACAACTTTCCCATTGGTTCCGACACACAAAATATTACGTCGCAATTTTACAGAAATGTATGACTCAGGGGATCTTTTCTCTATAGAGGACCTATAATAATTTATTATTCATAATATCTTTTGCGTTTTGAGATTTGTATGGCCTTAGTGATCTCTTATTTATTTCAAACATTCATAACTTTCTTATTATTCATTTGATTTATTTCAAACTTTCATTCAGTTGGACTTATTACAAGACTTGTATTAAGAACAGTCAAGTAATTCCCGGTACATAGTTAATTTTTGTTAAATAATAAGTTCGAACTAATAATCAAGTTACTGAGTAAGAATTTTAAAGCTGACCCTTTTTTCTATTCTCTTCTTTCTAATAGCGCTATTCATGACATCAAATCAGATTTTGCTGGGCTCAATCACTTGGTTGATTTTCTGCACCGTCGCCAAGGTAAAATTCAAATAAATATCTTTTTCTTTTTAAATCCCATGTAATATCAACATTTTCTTTTAGACAAATTACAATTAAAACAAATACCTTTTCCACAATGGTCAAATTGTTATCTCATGAAATGAGAATTAAATTTAAAAGTTTAATTTTCTATGTGGATAGTGGTTTACACATTTAAAAAAAAAATATGCATGAAGGCGGTTGAGTAAAGTAACTTAATGAAACGAAAAAAGCCTAACCAAATCAAAATAAATATTATATGTGATTATTATTTTTTCATCACCAAAACTATCCATGTTTCGTATCATATTTCTTTGTAAACTTTGTCTGAGCATTTATTTTACACGTGAGCGAAACAAATATCCATGTCGAACGATATCATACTTTCCATATTGTTCGAAATATGACGTAGGGCTCCATTAAGTGAAAATATATTAGGTGCAAAATGGACAAAAACTTAAATAATGTTCAACGCCTCTGGGCGTACTCAAAACAAAGAAGTTAATAGATTTGTTCGTCTTTTCTTCTCGTCTTATCATCATGTATTACAGGGTGTTACCCCGTTGCCGTCATCACCCACGTTGACGTAGCCGAGCGAAACGACATCGACATCCTGCTCGCTGTTCTCCGTGTCTCAGGGATCGGCGATATCTACGAGGTGGCCAACATCACCAACGATAAGACCAAACTAGATGCGCAGTACCAACTGAATCTTCTGAACCTGATCGAGAGATGCATAACCATTGGAAATGATACAGCTGTCTTCAAGCACTATCAACGTGTGGAGCTGGAGCAGAAGGCGGAGAAGGCGAAGCTGGGTCCGACAGAGAAACCAGTGCCAACAGCAAAGGTATCACATCAAGGGGCTCAAAGCGTCAAGAGGACGGAGAAGAGTCAGGAGTGGGAAATGGTGGAGTGGGAAAGAAGAGAGGTCGAACAACTCAAGAAAGACCTTGAGAAGAGAAGTATGGAGCTGGAATTCCTGGAGCGGGATCATAAGATGAAGATGGAGTTTGAGAAGCAGCAGCATGAGCTTCAGATGGAGCGACAGAAGCTGGAGTCCCGCGAGATGCAACTCCAGGAAGAAGAGCGGGAACGTCGGTTCCAAGAACAGTTGCGGAAAATAGAGGCTGACAAACGTGAAGAGCTCATGCGCATCATGGAGGCCAACAGATCTAAGGGTCATGGATTCCTACCAGTTATCAATCTCCCTGGCTGCCCAATACAGTGATCAACAATGTTTTTAATTATTATAACTATTTGGCATACTGCGCCATATTTGTGGCACAAATTGGTTGGAATAGCACCTAACTAGTATAAATATTGTTCTTAATTTCTCTTGACCGTTAGCAAAACAAAAACAAAATACTTTGTCGATAGGTCCTTCTATGCTCTGCTCCACGTTAGTGGAATTCTCTTCCAGCTTCCCTTCGTTGCATCTCTGATATTACCTTGTTTAGATCAAAATTAAAAACCAACCTAATGGAAAAGGCATATTCAACCATGAACCTACTTAAACCTAGTTCTTAAATAGTGACCTTAACTTGCTATCTTACGTTTGATAATTTCTCATTTGTTCTCTTTTCATTTCTCTGTTAAATTTTACTTCCATCAATTTATATACATTTATACGACGTTATATATCTCGTTAAGTGAATTATATCTACTCTGAATGGGCCATGAAATAAAAATGAAGTAATTGATGAATCCAGTGATAGATGGGCTATGTAGCACTACTTTGTTACTTTGTTACGAGATGTAGTACATTGGTGAACTAAAGTATTAAGACACACGGATCTTCTCCGTGTAGGAATTAGTGAATAATAATTTCAATGTTTCTTGTGTTAATTTGCTCAGTCTGTGACAAATGTTAAAAAAATTAATTGAGAAAAAAGGGTCACAAAGTTTTTGCGAAAAGCCAAGCAAGTCTTTTGAAATTTCAATTTTCCGGCTGCATATTTTGAATAGGGTGGTCATATGATAATTGAATGTGGAGTACAACAAGGGTTAAATTTAGGACCATTATTATTTGTTATCTTTATTAACTACTTACCGAACTGTCCTTAAAATTGTGCTATTTCATTATATGCCGAGGATATCTGCCTTTATTATGCTAGTAATATTCTACAAGATATTGAAAATCATTTGAATGAAGACTTAGGGAATATTTCTGCTTGTCTTTCATGTAATCAGTTGGCATTAATGTGAAAAAGTGCTAATCGGAACTTAAAAACAGAATTCGTGGGAAAAATCTAGATCTTGTTATTGATAACATAAAACTGAATCAGTTTACTGTGTGTAAATACCTTGGGAAATACATTGATAACTCGTTAGATTGGGATAAACATGTGAAACATTTGTGTAAAAGTACTGTGAAGAATTTGTATTTGTTAAAAAAAATAAGACATTGCATCTCGCAAAAACCCGCATTACATTTTTATAAGTCAATTGCTCAAAGTAAGTTGGATTATTGTGATGTTTTTTGGGAAATACGAAGAAACAAAATATTCAAAAAAGCCCGGATTATCTTTTAGGTAAATTTAATTTTAAATACAATGCTCCTCGTATATTTACTTTACCAAGAATTAAAACGTGCTTCAAAAAGAAAAGTTTAAGTTAGTAGGGTGCAAAACTATGTAATGAATTGCTGGTAGAAACTAAATATAAACCAACTTACTATACTTTCAAAAGGAGTTAATAATATTCATAATATCATGCTTGACTTTTAAAAGCAAACAAAAACAACTGATTTGTTTTTTAAATATTTTTTCTTTTTGTTTTGTTTTATTTTTCTAAATTAGGGCTTGTTTGAATTTCGCGCCTTCTAACCTATTTGTATATATATATATATATATATATATATATATATATATATATACGTGTATGTTTTATTTAACTTTGTATGTTAACCATGTTAATCTATAATTTATTTTGCTTTGTAGAATTGTGATTGCGTTTTATATGCACGGCCTTACTGAAGATCAGCCATTGGCTGAAGTATACCACCGTGCTAAAATAAAATAAACCCCATTCAATTTGTATTGATTTCAGCATAAATTGAATTGTCATACATTAAATAATATTACAATTTGAAGGAAAAAGGACTGAAAAACTCTATGCAGAGTCATTGACCAGTTGACGAAATGACTTAAGTCATCTTACACGTCCAATATAGTTGAAAGGAGAATGGTATATGAAAAGGAGCAAGTAAGAAAGTGAAGATAGGGAGGGGACACAGAGAGGCAAGAGAAGGAGAGAGAGAGAGAGAGAGAGAGAGAGAGAAAAGAAGAGAGAGAGATTTTCTTTGAATTCATTGATTTGCCCTGTTGGTGGTAGTGTAGTCTGCAGGCACATACCCTAATTTGACATTTGCCCACAATTCCTAAAATTTTGAGCACAGCCTAGATCTATCGGGCTAAAGTAGCTGGATTACAGGCTAGGCGTTGTGGCGTAGCCTGTTATCCAGTTTACAATGGAAATTACAAACTGATTCAGCCGAGGACGCAGGTTCGAAACTGAGTCACGTCTTTCGGATGGTGACGTTTAAAGGCATCGTTTACCAATGTTAAATCTGAGATGCATGGCCCTACGTGTTATCAGTGTCTGTGATATCATGGACCCTACCACAGATGGACTAATAATAAGAGTCTTTCTTTGATCACATCATGATAACATAGCAGCTATACATGCGCTTTGTTTCCATCGACACCGGGGGGCGGGGGGCGGGGGGGGGGGGGTGTGATTGTACGTCCTTCCCCCCTAACCTATATTTCTGGGGTGTATTACCCCCATCTCCCTGCTATATATACGCCCTTGATTGCAATGAAGAAGAAAATAATATGGAAGTGATACAAAATGAGTGTTAGTGTTAGAATCAAATAATCAACATTTCTTTGAATAAGAAATACTTGACCATAAATCAACTTTAGAATTTATGAAATCTCTATTATAGTGTTTGATATCTGAAACAAATTGGTCTAATTAGAAGTTAGTGTTTTCAAATTTGACTGTAGTTTATTTGGAAGGCTGTAATCCATAAACACAATGTTTCACTAAAAGAAGAATATTGCAAGGTTGCCCCATTTCCCAATACTTGTTTTTATTTGTCATTAAGACAGTGGTTTTTTATAAGACGGAAAGAAAATGTTAAGCGCATTTCAGTAAATAATCAAGAAGCATTTAAACAACTCTCTATTTAATAATTTTTTTTTTTTTTAAATTGCAAAAAAATGTGCTTTACATTCAGGATGTAAAAAAAATTATCTCACTCAATCTGAAGCAATTTGAATTAGGTCTAAATGTGGTTGCCATGAATTTCCACTCACTGAAAAAAGGCTTTCAAGTAAAACATTTCAGTTCCTTAGGTTTAATTGAATAAAACATAGAAACAAATATGAACACATACCGCAATTCAATGAAAGGAAATCGAGAATCTAAATCACCGACGCCGACGATCAACTTACATTTCTACTCGCGTCTGGACTACATCGCAAAAACGAAAGTGGGTTTTCCCCATACGTGTATATGATTCCGCGTAAGCAGATGTGTCGCGGAGGCGGGGGGGGGGGGGGGGGGTTAATGAAGGCTGTTGTGATTTTTGGTGATGTGGGTGGTGGTAGGGTAGTCTGCAGGCATAGGCTCTAATTTGACACTTTTCAACAATTTCTAAAGCCTTCGGCACAGCCTAGCTCTTACAGGCTAAAACACAGATTCTTTACTGTAGTCATGAAGTTCAAACATTGCTAAGCACATCGACTGGCAAGGGTTTGTACCTGCAAACTAGTGGTGTTGGGGTTTGGGGGAGTGGGGAGGGGGCAGCTAAAATGTATTCATCATCACCCCCAAAATGACCCTACAGCCTATTTTATTAGAATTGGATTGATATCGTCAGTCGTACAGAGCGGGGAAGTTTGTTGATAGAGCGTCATGCTAAATGAAAACCCATCGGGAAAACCAAAAATATAAAAGAAAATAGACAGGAACACCATATTAGGTAAAGTGTGATCATTCCACGGACGTAATACAATGATTTAAATAAATTATCGATGAAAGTTCACTGCTTAAATTACTATTGTAGAGTAAATAAAATTAAAAAAAATAACCTCTTGGCAGCCACTGAAGCAGTGGAGTAGACAGGTCCCAAATTATATGTGAGTGGGGGTGGCCTTAAAGAAAAGGTTGAGTTCTGGGAAGAGGTGAAAAATAATTTGTTAGCGTTATCATTGTTATTATGCAAGTGTGGAAGAACATCAGATAAAACATGTTCCCTGAAAAGCATTGCTCTTCAAAGATGTCATATTCTAAATATGTCATGTAACATCGTAAAAATTGGGACGGATTTTTACGCCACATTTTCTTGTAGTCCCATATACATCTTTCTGTGAACAGTGTTTGTAACTTTACCAAGACTTGGCCAAATTTCTTATCATTTTGATGATTCCAGAACCTTGCAATAGACGCGAATACTTATATGCTAGATGATCAACCTTCTCTGGTCGATTCCACACCGTTTCTTTCACAATGCAATGTCATGACCAGAACTCAACTTCATCTTTAATGAAAATACAGTAAATTTAATGCATGCCTAGACACAGACAGAAACCTAGAAAAACATACCCACTCATATGAAACACAAATGCGAGTGTGTTTGTGTGCACGGGAAGTTTGTATAGTAATGAACAAGTTTGTTTAATCAATCATTGGTGAAAGTTCAATGCTTCATTTTTTATTTTAGAGTAAATTAAATGAAGAAATAACATCTTGACAGCCGCTGAAGCAGTGGCGTAGAGAGGTTCCAAATATTATTGTATGTAAATGGGGGTGGGTGATTAATGAAATTACAGTAAATTGTATGCATTCCCACACACAAACAGAGACGCCCACTCACACACCCACTCATATCAAACACGAGTGCGTGCGTGTTTGTGTACACGGGAAGTTTGTATAGTCATGAAAAATTAACATGCAAGCGTTTTATATGATAGGCCTAATTATATACGTAGAAAATCTGGGAGCCCCAAACTCGAAAATATTGTTAACAAATTTACCCTGAATTGTAGCTACAACAAGCGTTCATCCCTCGCCACATAGACCAAGCATATTTTTCCTTACCATTTTATATACAACTCTCTCTCCCTCTCTCTCTGGTGCTCTGCTGTTTATCAGGTTTTAAGCATGAAATACACTTAATTCTTTTCTCTCTTCAGCTACTTCATTCATCTTTTTGTATGTATCATTTGCCTTGAAGCCATCCAACATCAATAGTTATACACATATTTCTTTACATTTATTGACATTCGTGAAAATGAAAATTGTAATAAAGAGTACCTTTAGACCAAAGGCCAATACAAGCCACTCCTTCTAGCATAAAGATAGAGAGCTTTGTCTATAATTATGGTGAAAGTGAGTGGCGAAATCCACTAAATTCGTGAGAAGCATCTCCAGCCCTCACACGCTTCGGACTTGTTGGAACCTTGTCTTTAAAGTGAGTTGCTTCCTTCCCTTTATAGAAGAAAGCCCCTACCTCTGAATTCCAGGGACTTTGGGTAGACTGGCTTTCTACAGTACAGTCTTACAAGATAACGATTTGTTTTGATATACGAGGGAGCTTATATTAGCGGCTGAGTGTGAATATTTAGAGATATGAATGTTGAAACCCTGTACAGTATTCTAGAGCACTTTAAATCTCTTCAATGGTTGTTTTGCATAAGTATTGATGGCCCATCATTCTTTGTTTTGCTTTAAGGACGGAAAACCAATTGCCCTATCTTTTTGAAAGAAACACTGTATTCATTAGTTTGAGAGGGAGCGTAGCGACCGAGCGATTTGTTTATAGTTATTTTGAATTGCTGAAAGTTTGCATTTTAGTGCACTAGAATGCTCATTATGCGTTGATGTAATACAAAATAATTACATGCAATACTTTCCTTTTTTATTGTGAGGAGGCCCTTCGGGGGAGGGAGTGGGGAGGGGAGCATCCTTTCCTACTGCAACACCCCCTCCATAACTACCTTCGGTGACTACGTAAGTATTGGATTATGATCTCCTACACGTGCATGCGGGTGCTTTAAGATGGAGACATATTTTCCATCAGGGATTGCAGCGACACAAAGTGTGTACACATGTTTCCATAATTCATATGAACGTACCTGTTAACACGCAACAAACGGTATTGTGATGAATTCCTCAATACTTCATCTTGTTCATCACAGCCTAGATATACCAGGCTAAAGTACAGAGCCAACTATAGTCTTGTAGTTCAAACTTCATTAAACACACTAGTGGTGGTGGTGTTCGGGTAGGGCCGGGGAGGGGGGGGGGGGGGCATCTAAAAAAATATTCATTCCTCATCACCAGGCGCGTACGCAGTGGGGGGGGGGGGGGGGAGGTTGGGGGATGAACCCCCCCCCCCCCCCCTTTAACTTTTTTATGTGTATGTTTTGGACGGAACACCCCTTTTGTTTTGTTTTTTGATACCAAAAAAAATATAGGCCTATTGTGGTAATGGGTGACCCCCTAAAGCTGACCCCCCCCCCCCCCCCCCCCCCCAACGAAACGAAACATCGATCGGCCAAATTTGCGATTTTGGAGACACACACACACAAAAATTATGTCCTCTTACCACCCCCCCCCCCCCCCCCCCCCCCCCCACCCCCACTTATTCATCGGCCGGCTGAGTCGTTGCGAACTTTTCGGCGTGATTTTCAAATCTTAACCCCCCTCGAAAAAATCCTGCGTACGCGCCTGCTCATAACCCTGTCTCTCCAAAAATTACCCCGCTGCCGATTTCATGAGAATTTGATTGATGTCATCGGTCGTACATAGCGGGGAAGTTTGTCAGTAGAGCGTCATGCTAATACCTATCGGGGAAAACCAAAATATAATAACAGAGTAGACAGGAACGCCTTATAAGGTAAAGTGAGATTGTTTCACGAACGCAACAATGATTTTAATCAATTGTTGATGAAAGTTCAATGCTTCATTTTGTATTTTAGAGTAAATTAAATAAAGAAATAACCCCTTGACAATCACTGTAGCAGTGGCGTAGACAGGTCCCAATTATATGTGTGTGGGATGGATAATAAATGAAGAAAAAAAGAGCAGATTTTATGCATGCCCAGATTCAGACACAAACACAAACTCACATACCCACTCAAATCAAGCACAGGCGCGTGTTTATGTGCACGGGAAGTTTGTTTAGTCGTGAAATATTATCATGCAAGCGTGCCCCCTCACCCCTCCCACCACATAACCCAAGCATATGTTCCCCTAACCATTTCATATACACCTAAATCCACTAAATTCGTGAGAAGCATCTCCACCCCTCACACGCTTCGGACGAGTTTGAACATTGTCTTTAAAGTGAGTTGCTTCCTTCCCTTTATAGAGGAAAGTCCCTACCTCTGAATTCCAGGGCCTTTGGGTAGACTGGCTTTCTACAGTATAGTCTTACAGGATAATGATTTGTTTTGATATACGAGGCAGGGAGCTTAGCGGCAGAGTGAGGATATTTAGAGATATAAATGTTGAAGCCCTGTATGGTATTCTCGTGCACTTTAAATATCTTCAATGATTATTCTGCATAAGCATTGATGGCACATCATTTTTTGTTTTGCTTTAAGGACGGAAAACTAATTGCCCTCTCTTTTAAAAGAAACACTGTATTCATTAGTTTGTGAGGGAGCGTAGCGACCGAGTGAATTTGTTTGTTATTTTGAAGTGCTGAACGTTTGCATATTAGTGCACTAGGATGCTCATTATACATTGTTGTAATACAAAATAATTAATACAATACTTTCCTTTTTTTATTTAAGGGGGGGGGGGGCCTTTCGGGGGCAAAATTGATTTTGCCACCAATTGAATTATTGAGGGAGGGGGGGGGGCATCCTTTTCCACTCCAATCCCCCCAACCGCCTTCGTTGACTATATGTTAGTATTGGATTATGATTTTTTTTTCTCCTACAAGTGCATGCGGGTGACTTAAGATGGAGACATATCTCCCATAAGGGATTGCAGCGACACCAAGTGTGTACACATGTTTCCATAATTCATATGAACGTACCTGTAAACACGCAACAAACGGTATTGTGATAAATTCTTTAATACTTTATCTTGATCATCACAGCCTAGATGTCTCAGGCTAAAGTACAGAGCCTGTAGTCTTGTAGCTCAAACATCATTAAGCACACTAGTGGTGGTGGTGTTTGGGAGGGCCGTTGGGGGAGGGGGGGGGGGTCTAAACTGTATTCATGCATCATCCTCACCCTGTCTCCCCCAAAACTACCCCACTGCCGATTTCCTGAGAATATTATTGATGCCATCAGTCGTACATAGCGGGGAAGTTTGTCAGTAGAGCGTCATGCTAATACCTATCGGGGAAAACCAAAATATAATAACAGATTAGACAGGGACGCCATATTAGGTAGAGTGAGATTGTTTCACGAACGCAATAATTAGTGGAAAAGTTCAATGCTTCATTTTCTATTTAAGAGTAAATTAAATAAAGAAATAACCTCTTGATAGCCACTGTAGCAGTGGCGTAGACAGGTCGCAATTGTTTTGCACGCTTTGGACGAGTTTGAACCTTGATATTAACACTTGTCTATATACTGAGTTGCCTCCTTCCCTTTTTAGAGGAAAACCCCTACCTCTTAATCCCAGTGCCTTGGCGTATGCTGGCTTTATACTGTAAAGTTTTACAAAATAATGATTTGTTAAACATACGAGTGAGCTTAGCGGCCGAGTGAGAATATTTAGACATATGAATGTTGAAACCCTGTTCATTATTCTAGAGCACTTTAAATATCTTCAATGAGTGTTCTGCAAAAGGATTGATGGCACATCATTCTTTGTTTTGCTTTAAGGACGGAAAACCAATTGCCCTCTCTTTTTAAAGAAACACTGTATTCATTAGTTTGTGAAACAGCGTAGCGACCGAGCGATAATTTATTTTTATTTTGAAGTGCAATTTAGTGCACTAGAATGCTCATTATACATTGTTGTAATGCAAAATAATAACATGCAATACTCTCTTTTTTTTCTTCATGTGGGGGTGGGGGCCCTTCGGGGGCCCTTCGGGGGCAAAAAATGATTTTGCCCTTACTTAAAGACATGAGAGACTGCAGATGCAATCCATGTTGCTCTTCAAAATAGTATCATCCCTTTAGCTTTACAGAGGCGTATATCGCGAACCCAGACACTGGCAACTTGGGCGGGGCAGGCCTACTCAGTAGATGTAATGCAAGTGATTATACTACGGGAGGGGTCATATCACTTTCTTTTCTAGTTATTTTCCCTTTATTTCATCTGTATGTCTGTCTGTCTGTCTCTCTGTCTCTCTCTCTCTTTGTCTCTCTCTGTCTCTGTCTCTCTCTGTCTCTCCCTCCCACACATTTTCCTCCTTTAATGGACCATATTCGATTGAGAGGGTCACATGCCCCCCCCCCCGCCATAGTAAGCCACTGCCTCTAAAGTGGGGACAATTTGTTGTTAAACTTCTTGTTAAACTTACTTTTTGTTAACGATTGCCAAGAGTTTCGCAGAAACTAACGAAAGCAATGATATTTGAATGAGTTACATTTTGATTTATTGAACTTCTTATTTTTCCGTTTAAAAATAATCGTGTTAACAGAAGATGTAGATTCCATAAGCAACAAAGTACAAAGTAATCCAAAAAATTAATTTATACATTGAGAACGGGGGGGGGGGATGCAGAAAAGCTCTAATGAGATGCATGCATCCGAGACGTTACGGTCAAACAAAATTAAAATCAGATTGATCAATAATGCAAATAAGAGTAGTAAAATGATGTGACCCCTCCCGTAGTATAATCACTTGCATTACATCTACTGAGTAGGCCTGCCCCGCCCAAGTTGCCAGTGTCTGGGTTCGCGCTATACGCCTATATAAAATAGTTATATAATTGTAACACGGTATTTCTAAGAACCATAATATTGGAATCAATTATAAGCAATGGCTTGAGTATGGGAAAAAGATAGAGTGGAAGAGAGAGTAAACGAGAGGGGAAAGGGGGAAAATAGAGAGAAATAGAGAAAGAGAGAGAGAGAGAGAGAGAGAGAGAGGGAGGAAGGGCGGGAGGGAGAGAGAGAAAAAAAAAACATGAGAAATGGAAGATGAAAGACGGGAAATTAATTGAAACATTTTCATGGCTTTACACATCCTCTTACTTGATGCACATAGTATTGGCCATTTATTAATATATTAACAAAAAATGTAGAAAACTGACATATCCGTGGTCTTGTCAATAATGGCACATGGGTTTTGTAAAATGTGCAAGCAGAATGGAATAACGACCACCTTCATCTTTATACTGACTATGTCTCAAAACTTCTCCAACATTTGAATTTTCAGGGGAAGATGATGATACCTCGTTAAACCACAAAAAAAAACTGTCTTCAGATGAACCTTGGAATTCCCACTTCAGTCACATGAGTGACTATGCCTAGCAAATTATCCAACATTTGAATGATCAGGGGAGGACTGATGATACTTCGTAGAAAAAATATGGCTTCAGGTGAAACTGGGAATCCCATCTCGGTCACGTGACTAGGGGGTTGGACTATGCAGATCAACCCCGCCTCTGTGCTGCAGTTTGTTTAGTGCATTGCACGCTTTCCTTCTTGGATGTCGCAAATTTCATCTAATGCTTAGCCCTCAATATGAAATCATGACATTTGCTTTCAATTCGCCATCGGTTGAGGGCAATCAAACAGACTTTCTCAGCATCAACTAAACTTGGATCCTTCCAGTTTCTATCCGTAGCTAATTAAAATGTCCGCAGAACCTATCCTTAGCGGCAGCGATCTGACAGAGGAGATAACTGAGCTACGGGAAGAAGTGCTGGCGTACAAACCAGGCAATGTATCAACATGTGCAGATAAAATAGATTTTCCGGAACAACTGCATATAGGTAACAATCAAACAAATTTAATCTCGAAATTTTATTTGAAGTTGAAGTTGAACTAGTGGCATACAGATCTACCATAGCAAATCAGGAGCGTATCTATGTCGAGGTGGGAGGGGGAGGGGGGGGTGGTGCTGATTGATTAGAGATTATAAAAGAGGTTCAAGAATGTAGCCAATGAGTGCATTTTGATGATTACAACCGTCAATTTCTCGACTTTATACTCGTTATTCTAGACCCACTTTTCAAAACATACCTGTTTAGCCCGTGCATTAGTGATATGCACTGCACTTGGTTAAGTCACAATGAGAACGACAAGGAACTCGACAAGTCTCGTTCATTATCCTACTGTGACTTAAAGATAAAGTTGAGTTCTGGTCATGCGATTGCATTGTGAAAGAAAAGGTGTGGAATGGATCAGAAAAAGTTGATCATGTAGCCTGTAAGTATTGGTGTGTACTGCAAGGTTCTGGAGTAATCAAAATCATAATAAATTTGGCCCAGTCTTGGTAAAGTAACAAGCACTGTACACAGAAAGATGTATATGGGACTACACAAATGTCGTCGGGCCTACTTACCTTTATTGCAATGACGAATATCGTCATTGCCTTGTTTTCGTTCACATTCTGCCCCACTGATATTCCTTTTCTCCGTTTTTCCGTGTTTTCCGTGTTTTCGTCAGGTAATCGCATTCGTTTTGCACGTAGTGCCTGTTATCACTAGTTATGCCCTTTCCTCATGTCCCTTTCCTTTCAAATTTCATAGGCATAGTCTCTAACATCTCATCAAGGTCACTACATTCTTTGATTTTCGAAATCACTCATGCATAACCGTCCAGGCGCCATTTTTTCCGGTCAATTTTTCTGGCCAATTTTACGGCCTTTCTGTCTTCCTTCCTCTCTCCACTATCCTAGATCCTACAGAGTTCTAACAAATTCCTCTAAATAGTCCAAGATATGATCTTTTATTTGCGACCTGTAACCTGACCTTCAAAATGCCATCTTTGCACTGCAAATTCAAATCCTAAACAGACATTTGAAAAAGGGACCCCTAAGAATCTAAAAATGCAATAACTTTCTCATACCTTTTCCGTTTCGTTTCTTGTAGTATCTTTATCTCATAATTGCAAAAAGCCATGCTGAATTTAACGCTCCATTGAATATGCAAACAATAAATAGCGCCCTCGAAAGTTCTGGGAATCCGCTTTCTTTCTGTGGCAATATCTTCATCGTTTCTGGCCAAACCCGTACCCCTTTTTGTGATTTAGATACTTGAAGATATGCCGTTTACAGCCAAATAAAATTGTTTATACCCTAACTCTGACAAAATTTGAGAAAATTGCCCTCCAAATTCGAGCGTATTTCGGGCGGCGAGTGAAAAGTGAGCAGGCGCCGCCGAATTTTAACTCCGCGACAAAACTTCAGCGGCGACCGAGCGATGCCCTAAAAAAAAGCAGTGCCCGGGCGGCCGCCGCTCGATGCCCGTGCCAAATTGGCTAAAAACTCGCCACCCGGCCGCCGAGCAGGCTACTTTTTGGGGTTGTGACCATAGCTTAACTGACTGCAATGAATTGCTCTTTCGAATATATAAAAAACGAACTAATCTTACTCTGCCGAACCGAGTCCAAATCTACTCCAAACCGATTTCAGACCGGCCGATCGACTCTCGGTCGTAAAAGGTAATCTACATGTAATTTTTCTTTCGTTGAGTCTCGTTTAGTATCGTTGTTTGTGGCTGGGCTGTAAAACATTCACATTCGTCCGTACACTTTCTTTCCTAATATTAGGGCTCTTTGGCCGGACAGGATGCGGAAAGACGTCACTGATCAATTCACTCAAGTTTGCTGCCCATGGCAAACTGCGACGATCACAATGGCAGCAGGCTGCGGGCCAGGAGAAGGCTGGAGGACACACCATGTTCAGAAAGCTAGCTGATATTACCAAGAAGATTTTTGTGATTGACAACCGAGGTCTTGATGAACCAAATACAGAAAAAGCGATTACTGAACTAGCCTTACAATTGGGTGAGGACGACTCTCTCTCTGCATCGACTCTAGCCTCGTGTCTATGGCCCTGGCGCTGTTCGAGTCCGTAAATTCTGGTGGGGGAAGCGAGCCTGGGCCAGGGCCATCGACATGATGCTACATCGACTCCAAATCAACCGGTTCTTGACCATTCAGGGTTGTATCATTTATTTATTTTTTCGGTCTGTGAGGTAAAACTTCCTCAAACCAAACCTTCATTAATAACTATGATGTCTTCATGTTATGTTCGTATATTCATGTGCATCGATCGAATCTTCCCAGTTTCACTTTTCAAAGAGAATCACGGCGGGGCAGGTGAATGAGGCACCGGCCCTTTTTGGGGGGTAACTTCTGATCATTGATTGCTTCCCTTAGCTTTCCATCCCCTCCCCTCTCCTCCCCTCCCTTTCCCTTCATTAATTATGCGATGACAATCTTGTGCTTTCTCTACTCAGATGGAAACCGAGGTTACTCAGAGAGTGTCGAGTGGCAGGGAGCTAGTGATGGGAATGATACCGATGATACAGAGGATGAAGACCTGGATCTAAGCGGACTTGATCTCAACATGGGACATCCAATTGGCTGCGCTATCTTTGTTTTTAGGTGAGCAAACACGCGCCAAAAGGTTCAATCTTAAGCCTGTTGCGCACGAAGACTCATTAGGGTGCTTTAGCAACGCGACGGAAGGCAAAGGGGACGGGAGAATTCACTCAACCGAGATCAAATAATGTATGCAGTTCGGATTCTGCCTATTGAAAAAATATTATTCTTATCAGGTGAATGAAATAATATGTATTGTCGAGGCACTTCACAAAGACTTATGCATTCAATTTGGTTACATTACGAACGATACAACTCTTCCGTCGAGTTTAGAACCCGTCGAACCCTTGAAGGGACTTTTAGATTTGCACGATGAGAACGTGGACTGCTCTTGTGACACCCTTTTAAAGCAATGTGACTTAAAAGGACGTCACATTGCCTTAAATGGATGTCACACGTCGCAGTCCACGTTCTCATCGTGCAAATCTAAAGTTCCTATTATGGTCATAGACAGCGCCAGTTGCTGACGCAGTCCTATGTCACACAATTAATGGTGCATCGTGTGCATGCAGCTATGATGTGGGTAATGGCGATGTAACTGTAGCCGTATCCGGACACCTACCCCCCTGGACATCCACCCCGGATACCCCCCCCCCCCCCAGTCAACTACCCCCTAGGCAGGGCCGTAGCCAGAGTTTGATGTTTGGGGGGCACATACATGTAATTGATCGACGTCCTGGGGAGGGGTCTAAAAAAGTTCAACCGATCTTGGAAATTTTTGGGGGGCACGTGCCCCCCGTGGCTACGGGCCTGCCCCTAGGACAACTACCCCCTAGGGCAAACACCCTCTAGGACGACTACCCCTCAAGACAAATACCCCCGGACAACTACCCCTAGGACAACTACCCCCCGGACAACTATCCCCTAGGAAAACTACCCCTAGGACAACTTTCCCCCGGACAACTACCCCCTAGGATAGTTGTCTGAAGGTTAGGTGCCATATTATATTATGTTAGGTGTCATGTCTATCTCTAAAAACTCCTTAATGAAACATTAATTTAAAAAACACACCACTATTCGTCCTTATAATAATAATATGTCTTGTTTTCCCAGCGTATCCTCATCAGTATTTATACTGTTCTCCCTGAGGGCCCTGCAGTCCTTCTTCTTTATCCTACCCTTTACCATTTTTTTTCCTACTTCTCAAAAATAAAATGTCGTAATCTTTCTCTCTTGATACCTTCCACAGCGCACGGCATGACTTGGATAGTAATACTAATGGACTAGCTGAGGTCATTGACTTTCTACATAGCCATCAGGGTAAGATTTTATCCTCCATATTTGTACTTATTCTTCATTCCATTGCGTGTGTGTGTATGCGTGTGCGTGAGTGTGTGTGTGTGTGTGTGTGAATGTTACGAAATATGGAGAGAAAAAGAAGTACGTTACGTCTGGAGCAGATGGTGAACGACCAAAAAGTTCCTTATAGGAATAATCTTGTGTGCTACCTACCAAACATGACATCGTCATGACATAATCCTACTATGATCCCTGTCTGTAATGCAATAGGTTATTGAAATCGCCCTTGATTTGATTTCTTGAAAGTTATCATGATTGTGTTGACCATTGTAGAGATGAATTTGAATTAATAATTTGGTTTAAACCTTACAAGCGTTTAATGAAGCCGATGTACGCTCCCTCCTTCTGTTCTGCGAAGAATCTGGATAAGCCGCTGGTTCCCCCCTTCCCAACCACCTTAAAATTATGAATTAGGCTTTGGTTGCAAAGCATTTATACAAAAACTTTAATATTGACAAAAAAAATCTTTTGCATACCGATTAAGTTCCAATAATAGCGGAGTATAAGCAAGGGATCAGTGAATGAATAATAAAACTGATACCGGATCGAAGTAACATTTTCATGAGGCCATATTCATTGATTGATTTAATGCATCTTGTCAAGTTTATGATATTATCTAGGACGTATTCACATTTTAGTATTTGTTCTCTGGTGTATTGATCCACTCTCTTTGGCAATCTAGGACGCTACCCGGTGGCTATCATAACTCATGTTGATGTCGCTGAGAGAAACCACGTGGAGGATCTCAAGACCGTCCTGCGGGTCTCTGGAGTAAGCGACATTTTCGAAGTGGCAAACCTAACCACTGAGAAGAAATTACTGGAGGAGCCCTACCAGCACAGTCTGCTCTCTCTCCTGGAGCGGTGTATGACGGATGGAGATGAGACTCTCATCTTCAAGCATTACCAGCGCAAGGAGCAACAGCGCAAGAAGGAGATTGAGAGGAGGCGGGAAGAGAAGAGACGTAAGCAAGAGGAGGAGCGAATAGCAGAAGAATGTCGACAAATGGCTGAGAAGGAGCGCATCGAGAGGGAGAATCAGATGAGAAGGGAGTTGGAGGACCAAAGGCTTGCGATTAAGAGGGAACGGGAAGGGGCTGAGAAGCAGGCGAGAGAAATACAGGAGCGAGAGAGGGATCGACGCTATCAAGAAGCCATTGCAAGGGTAGAGGCGGAAAAGCAGGTGGAGATCCGCCGAATCATGGAAGCTAATAAGAAAAAAAAAGGAATTTGTGAAATAATGTAATGCAAGCTGCTGTCATGTAGAGATTAATACATGAATATAATGCCCGTTGTGAGAGAGATAATAGGGACTTTTAGATTTGCGTGCACTGATACGTGGTACTTCCATTCACGGCAGTGCTTTAAAAGGACGTCGATCGTAGCATAGACCTATTGTCTTTGTGCAAATCTAAAAGTCCCTATTATTAGCCTGACGTAGACTGACTGTGTCAACGACTGGCGCAGTCCATGATACGCCATACATGACTGTGAGGGAAACATCGTAAAAGATGATTGCAAAATCGATAAACAGTGCACCCACTGTCGTAATTAGTAACTGGCTTCACATTCTTAACTAGGGGAAAGCAATAACGCGATCAAACGATGCGACGTCTCGTGTACAGTCGACATATTACGTTTCAACGTATACACAACCTTTCTCCAGGTAAAAATAAATATATAAACAAAGTTTCAAACAAATCAGTCATTTGAATCATTTAAACATATTGTAGTTACTTTTATGATGAGGCAATTTGTTGCATCCATACCGAAATGCCTAGAGCATGCTGCAGGAATACCCGGTCTTATCTCAATGCAAAAGAGACATGGCCCTAAATCAAGATGGGAACCACTGACAGGATTTCGTCACAGATGGCACCCAACTTGAATCAAGTTAAAGACTTCTAAGTATCTTGTTTACCTTTGTAGCTGTTAGCATGACGGAATTTCTAACACGCAAGGCATAAGATTACGTGCCAAAAAACTCACAATCTAATATGCAGCAAGTACTGAGTTATCCTTCTTTTAGAGCCCGTGTCGAAAACATACTTCTCTATAATGGGGCCAAATCGACCAAATGAATCACAACGTGTTTATAGAATATCAGTGGTTGTACTCAGGGACCAGAACCAGTCTTTACGTGGTCTCCAGACACAGACTTTAAGTTGACACTTTATCCAAAATCCTAAAGCCTTGGGCAGAGCCTAGCTATGTCAATTTCCGGCTAAGAGACAGACCCTATTGTAGTTTCATAATGCAGACAACGTTATGCACAACGACTGACAAGTGTTTCTGCGTGCAAACTATATAGTCTTTACGGGGGAGGTGGGGGAAAGTGCGACCAGGTTGACTCCAATTGCTCCAAGTGTCCAGTAAAAATGGGCTGCACATAAAACCATTGTTTATAATTATATCTTGATTATACTTCTTACACATGTATTTGATATCAATATTTGACACGATGATTATCCTCCATGGATTTCTCTATGTGTATATTATGTTGATTGTCTATTAGAATCGGTGTTTCATATAATCATATCTTATAGTGAATGTATCCTTACCAGTTTTCAGATGTATTAGACATTGGCTGCCTTTCACAAACTCTCATAATAAATCAAATAATTAAATAAATAGATAAATGAATAAGTATTATATTATCTGTATGTACCGTCAAAGAAAAAATGTCGAGCTTCTTCACGAACTTTTTTGTAAATTTGTTTGTTTTGTATATACATTTCGCATTACTCATTTGCTACGATGAGAGCCATTAACAAAAAAGTTTGCACACCTGAATACATAATATCGTAATGAAATGATAAAATGGTGTAAAAATAATAAATATAAATGCTCACTCAGATCTATAAAGAACAATATTTGTTGTTTGTGTATTATGTTGTAATACCCTGACTGACAGTGTCTGCATTATTTGGAAGAAGAAGGAAATGGAACAGTATTGATAATAAGCTGCTCAGAAGTTTCCATAATGAGCAGGATGAAGAAGATGATGATGATTATGATAATGATTATGATGATGATGATGATGATGATAATAATGAAGATGATTAGGAGGATGATAATAATGATAATGATAATGATGATGATGATAATGATGATAATGGTGGTGATGATGATGATGATGATGAATATAATGAAAATAGAAATAATAATAATAACAAATGTAATGACAATAATTTTAATGATAATAATATAATGATGATGATGTTAGTGATGATGATAATGAAGTTGACAATGATAAAAATGTACACTTGTAACGGGCACATTACCAGCAGTACATCTAATCACAGGATTATGAAATAAACTAATGAACTAATAAAGGAATACAAAAAATATATACATGCGCTGATAATATGCCCAATACACGAGTAGACCTTTCTTTATGTACTTGTTACCTCTGTCTCTCTACTTTCTGTCTGTTTGTATCTCTTTGTCTGGAACTTTCTCTCCCTCCCTACCTATCTTTCTTTCTCTCTATCTCCCTGTCTCTTTCTCGATCTCTCTCCTTATCTCTATGTCTCTCTTTCATAATGCTGTCTACTTCTCTATTCTCGCTCAGTCCCTTCTCCAAATACTTTCCTATCTTTAAAACTAAATGATCATTCCTTTGCAAGAATAAAGCACAGTGGGTGTATCTTGAAACTTATTTTCCAAAATGTATTCAATGTGAACTTATCGTAACACATGGTAAACACATCACTCCATACACATCTGTAAAAAGATGCACGCCGTATACATTAAGTGCAGGTATCTTTGTATTACAAACACAACTAATATGCCTTTAACTTGAGGTATTTTGAATAAACTCGTACTAGACGGTATAGATGGTAAAATGAAATCAAGCAAATATTTATACAAATCCTGCCAGCCAAAAACCCTTCATACGAATAGTAACTTCACATTTTTGCAGAGTTATCACAACTTCTTAAACTTCTAAAACAAATGTCTCCTTAAAAGGGCATTTCCAATAACCCTCTCCAACCATAACATGATAGATTGATCTATAACTATAAGTATGTGTAAAAGTATTCTACATATATGCGATAAAAGTATATTCTACTCTGATCATAAACACAGGAAAACGCAGTTAAATTTAAAGCAATGTTTCTCTTCTCTTTTATTAACCTAAACACATCACAAGGTTTAAGTTCAAAGATGATTCATCGGAAATAAGTTCGTGTAACTGTCACAATATTGTTGACATGTTGTCAGATATGTGTCTGGAGTGGATACCGTGGTGAAAGGGGGTGGAGGAGGAGTCCACTGGCCGTGTGAATCGGTGCATAGGGCTGTCGGTTGGTAGTCTGGGGTTGGTTCTGTAGGGCATGGGTTCGATCAGAAGAAGAGAACCGTTACAGGTAATACAAAGTTTTGGGAAATTTTGAAAATTGGGTGGATAGTGATTCTTTACAATTTTGATATATTTGGATGCCCCTGTGGATGTATTATAAGCACTAGAAAATTTAGCTCCTAAAACACTCCTACTTTTGAGAAAAATTGAATATAAAAATTTACCGGTGCTCCCGGTAAATTTTGATAAATTTAAAAAAGCACCTACGGCTGTTCAATAGTAGCTACGATATGTAGTTGTGATATATAATTTTCAAACGGAAATAGCTATAGGGTCGATTTTAGTCAATAAACATTGTTTTACAGCTTAATTAATATCTTGACCTTGAGAGGGAGCAATACAACATAAAGAGTTTATTATTTACAATTTCATAACTTATGACTCGATTTCAACTGCGACAACGATCACTGAATATCGTAGGATCGCATAAGCTTCCAATATGTTCATTTGAAACAAATTCATGACCTCATACCAAAACTTTGTAATACCTTTAAAGTTGTTATCACAGTGAGATCCTTGAAAGATGCTACATGTGGCAAATAAACAGGAAAGCCAGGAAATTGCCGTTTTCACATCTTCGGCGCCTGTGTTGGTATTGTGTAATGATTGTATTTCTCCTACGAGCGGATGCGGGTCACTAACATGGAGACATATCACCCATAAGGGAGTGCAGCGAGACAAAGTGTTTCAACATATATTTTTATAATTCATATGAACGTACCTGTAAACACGCAATAACAGTATTGTGATGAAACTTTGAATAACGATCCTTGAAATTATTTGTTTATGTCTGTACCTTTCCTATTGCACTTTTGTATATATATATCATGTATTTCATCTTTTGCACAAACTGCGCCTTGAGCATTAATTTGATTGTCAAGTGGATTCGACGCCTCACAAATCTTATGTATTATTATTATTATTATTATTATTATTATTATTATTATTATTATTATTATTATTATTATTATTATTATTATTATTATTATTATTAACTTTTCTACATAGGCCTACATCAGGAACATAATTTAGTGTGGCATCACAGAATGATTATACCACAACTCCTTCATATGAAGCATATATAAACTTTCAAAAGTCGTTCTCAAGCTGAGCATCATGCAAACCATGCCTAACGACCGAGAGAGAATATTTAGAGATATGACTGTTGAAACCCAGTAATGTATTTTAGAGCACTATAAATCTCTTCCATGATTGTACTGCAAAACGATTGATGGCACAATTTTGCTAGGAGGATGGAAACACTTAAATGCCCTCTCTTTTTAAAAGAAACACTGTAAACATTATTTCGAAGTGCTGAAAGTTTGCATTTTAGTGCGCTAGAATGCTCATTATACATTGTTGTAATGCAAGATAATTACATGCAATACTCTCCTTTTTTTCTTGTGAGGGGGATCATGGGGGGGGGGGTCAAAATTGATTTTGCCCCCACTTGAATTATTGAGGAGGGGACATCCTTCCTGCAACCCCGGCACCCACCTTCGATGACTTTGTTTTTATTGTGTTATGATTGTATTTCTCCAACAAGCGGATGCGGGTCATTAACATTGAGACATGATATTTCCTATAAGAAAGTTCAGCGACACAAAGTGTTTCAACATATTTATATAATTCATATGAGCGTAGGCCTACCTGTAAACACGCAATAACAGTATTGTGATGAAACTTTGAATAACGATCCTTGAAAAAAAAAAAAAATTATTTGTGAGTTTCTAAATATTGTAACTAAATGAATGATTAGTAAACTTCCATACTTTTTCATTATTGTTATTGTTGTTCTTATAATTATTACCTCTACTACTATTATTGCTCTTATGACTAGCTTGTAACTAGCATCGTATATAATAGCTAAACTTTCGCTCTGTTTCCATGGGCACCTGGGGGGGGGGGTGTTACAACCACAAATGTAATAACGCCCACAAATGTAATAACGCCCACAAATGTAATAACACTTTACCCACAAATGTAATAAGACCCACAAATGTAATAACACTTTACCCACAAATGTAATAATTTCACCCACAAATGTAATAACCACTTTACCCACAAATGTAATAATTTTGAATCACCCACAAATGTAATAATGACTTTACCCACAAATGTAATAAATTTGAAGTGATATCTTGTCGAATTTGTTCAAAACTAAAACCCTGTAATAAAGCATGGGTATAGCTAACTACCACCTAGCAAACTACCCCTGGACATCTACCCCCTGTCAACTACCCCCTCCCCGGACATCTACCGCCGGACATCTAACCCCATCCAACTACCCCCCCCCCCCTGGACAACTAACTCCCCCTCCAACTACCCCAGGACATCTACCCCCAAGCAAATTAAGGTAGTTGGGGGTAGTTGGATGGGGGTAGATGTCCGGGGGTAGTTTACAGGGTGGGGGTAGTTGGCTGGGGGTAGTTGGAAGGGGATAGTTGGATTGGGGGGCGGGGGGTAGATGTCCAGGGGGTAGTTGGCTGGGGGTAGATGTCCGGGGGTATTTGACGGGGGTAGATGTCTGGGGGTAGTTGCCCGGGGATAGATGTCCGGGGGGTACTTGACTTGGGGTAGATGTCCGGGGGGGGGGTATTGTCCGGGGTAGATGTCCAGGGGTATTTAGCTGGGGGGGGTATCATTCTAGGGGGTAGTTATCTGGGGGTAGTTGTCCTAGATAACATCGCAATCCAACGTTTCAATGTCACTAATAGCGTACATATATATATATGTTACATATCGTGAACATATTTCATAATCACATGCATAAAACAATCATCGTCAATATTTAAATACATTTTAAGGGGAAGTCCACCCTGAAATTAAGTTAGTTTTAATAGGAGTAGAAAAATGAGAGAAACAAGTCAGTGAAAGTTTGAGCAAATTCCGATTAAAAATAAGGAAGTTAGGATCTTTGAAGTTGTGATCAATCAAACACAAATTGGCAACTCTATGACGTATCATGCGAGCTCAACTTCCATTTGCTCAGTACTAAAAAAATCTAAAATTTTCATTTTCCCTCAAGAAAAATTTCAACCATACATGCACCCTAAATATAATAATTGCAAATATGTTTCTATACTCCCCCTGCAAGGAACAAATATATATTCCGTCATCAATAACGAAGAAAACATGATTTATGGAATATTATGCACAAAGCAAATGAAGGAGAGCTCGTATAATAAGACACAGAGTTGCCAATTTGTATTTGATTGATCACAACTTCAATAATTCATAACTTTCTTATTTTCATTCAGAATTTGCTCAAACTTTCACTCACCTGATTTTCTTATTATTCTGCCTCTATCGAAACAAACTTATTTTGGGGGTGGACTTTCCCTTTAATACTTTTATATGCCGAAAAAAAGAGTCAACTTATGACACCACCTTGGCCTTTATCTAGTTTATCTGCACGGTTTTTTTGTTATGAGTGTTTCTTTGAGAGTAGACTAAAAAATAAAAAATAAAAAAACTTTTGTCGAAGATGGGATTCGATCTC